AGAACACAGCAGTATACATAGATACATAGCAGAACACAGCAGCATACATAGATACATAGCACGAACGCACGCACGCATTTACATTATTTTGTAAACGTATCACGTACTGTACACTTCTCCAGCGAAATCCGCATCAGCATCAGCAGCAGCAGCGTGTGTCAGGGTGCGCGTGTGAGCCCCTGATGAATTGTTTTAAACACCAATTCCGCAGTGACTTGCGGCAATCTGCCTCCGCGAGATAGCGTGAGCGAAATTACTCCATCCTTCCCCGGATAGCCGATCTAATAAAATCGGCCAATCAATCACTTGTCCACCCAAACTAATTTTTTCCGTAACCCACACGCGTGCGAGAGCGAGAGTAAAAAAAAGATTCAGGAAACAGTGATGTGCGAGTGGTTATCTCTCTTCTTTCCTCCTCCTCCCATCACTCCCTCTCTTCTCCATCCCTTAATCACTCTCTCCCTCACTCTCGCATACTCACTCTCGCACTCCTACATCCCTCCCTCCCTTCCTCATTCTTCCCCCTCTGCCCACTCCCTAATCACTCACTCTCTCCCTCACTCACTCTCTCCCTTCCTCACTCACTCGCTCCCTCTCCCTCATCACTCTCCTCCATCCCTCCCTCACTCTCTCCCTCACTCACTCTCTCCGTTCCTCCCTCACTCTCTCCCCCATCCCTCCCTCTCTATCACCCTCCCCCTTTCCTACCTTCTTCCCTGCCTCCCATCCATCTCCTTCGCTCTCCCCCTTTCTATAAGAAAAACCACGCACATCGCGACGGTAGAATTCGGCAATGGAAGCAGTGGACACGTCCCCCTGGTGGCAAATAATCACACGCACGTCATAATGATACGTCATTATTTACGTGACGCCAACTCCTCAATCTAACAGTGTTCTCCATTAAAGGAATAAGACGTAGAAAGGTTCCTGGCAGGCTGGCGCGACATTAGACACACAGACGGAGATGCGATGTAAGATGCTAAGCACGGCAACGTCGAGTGACTAGGCGAGTTAGAAGCTGCAGTGATAGAATCATCGCATCTTGTCTAACGCGTGCAATACTGACTGTGCTTTTATTTCACAGATATTGATTAAGTTCGTTCTTGATAAGATAACGGTACATGCCCTACAAGCTAACAAGAAAGACGCATTAGGCCGTAAGCTATCAATGAACGCCAAGATGGGTCACCGCCCCAAATATGCCGCGGAACATACTTGCCTCTGATTTAATCCCGCTGTTCAGTGGGGAATTCTTTAATTAGTTGGCCTATCATGCCCGGTGCAGAGGTGTGACGCGGCGGATAGGTTAAGTTATCAAAGGGAGTGTATCAATATAGAATCATATAAGTTATTATACAATTGGAGTAAGTCATCTGATGTAGTTAGGGTACATCTGGAGTAAATCATCAGAATGGACATTAATACACCCTAGGTATTATGGCGAAACGTTGAAACTTTAATTTGCTATACTATAGTTGCTCGTGGGATTAAGATCACAAGATTAAAGTCCGTCTTGTAGATGGACATTTATCAAACACAGGCGCTACCCTTGCCGTCCATTTACATGTATTTAACGTCGGGGCCGGCAC